ACACACATATATATAGTAGCTCAGAAAATTAGGATTACAATAGCTGCCCCCCCCCAGTGGCACAGCTGTATGTCTGCGGACTTACAACGCTAGAATCCGGGTTTCGATATCCGTGGTGGGCAGAGCACAGATAGCCCATTGTGTAGCTTTGTGCATAATTAAATTACAAATTACTTAAGGCACCATGCTTACTCTTAGACATATGATATGTGTAATAAACATTCTTTGTTGAGAACTAAACTTGAACATATACATAGATGTTATTTCATGGATAATTTCTTTCACAAGATAAACACTTATGAATACGATCTGGATAAAAGGATAAGTTTGCATAATAGTGTCTGATCGTACCCAGGCAGTGAAGATAGTGATGAAAAAATAAAGCCTGCAGAAAGAAAGTTCGATAAACCTTACGCAGTGAAACTAGAGGAAAGAGAGAAAGAAAACACTGCGAAATAATATTTATATCTTCCAATATTACACCATTAACTGGTAATTATTTCCACAAAAAAAGAAGTAGAGAAAGGATATACTTATTTACTGCTTTTATCTTCTTTTATATTTCTAGTGTCTTGAATTGTTTACATTTATTTTGTGTCAGTGGTGTTTGGTGTGCATACTTGTAGATGTTAACATAGTATGATTAACAGTCGAGCTAAATATAATCTACCCGTGAAAATGCAAACCTCGCATCTTTTCTCCTACTAACCAACATTTGTGAATATAGTTATATATGATAAACAGTCACAAAATCATATTGGTTAAAATGTATGAACCTAATGAAACAACTGATTCTGAGAGAATAAAATTAGAGAAAGGAAATTCTACCACAATATACTCGTTGTTTTCAAGTAGTTTGTTCGTCTATTTGTTTCGGATAATCGCACAAGGCCACATAAGGGATATATACACCAGCTGTCCCTAATTTTGAACTAATAGGTTAAAAGGAAGGTAGATTATTAACACTCAAGATCGATGTTTAGGCTGTTCTAATCGAACAATGAGATTTGACTATCACTCCTATATATGTGAAAAAAAAACTGGAATGTTTTCTTTTTTTTTTTTACTGAGCTCTTCTTTATTTGCCAAATTCTTCTTTATTTTACCGGTGCCGTAGCGTCACAAGCTACTTTTCAACATAAAAACTACAAAATAATAAGACAATCATCCAAAATCATTTTCCATGTTACTTTTAAATGTTTTACGGACGGGAACTTTAAGATAAAAGTGAAATTGATAGAATATGTATCGAGTTTTGGAAGTTTATTTTCTGAGCAAGAAACAAAATTTAATTTAAGCCAAAATAAACTTGGAAAATTTAATGTGTTGTCAAAATTCCATAAAGTCAAATACTGAAAGAATAGTTATGCGGAGAAAGGTTTGTTTGTTTGTATTGGAATTAAGCACAAAGTTCACAATGGGCAATCTGTGCTCTGCCCACCACGAATATCGAAACCCGGATTCTAGCGTTGTAAGTCCGCAGACATACCGCTGTGTCACTGGGGGGCGCAGAGGAAGGTCGAAATATATTTCGTTACCAAATGTTTTAGATATGTCAAGTCGTCCTATTTTAGAAGGCAAAAATAAAATTACTGAACCGTTGAGTAATTTATTATTTTGAAACCTTTTATTTCGAAAGTGAAAAGCTATATAAAATACAGTTTGTTTTAGAATGAAGCCTTATTAAGCTATCTGCTCTATTTACCGCGGGGAATCGACCCTCGGATTTTAGCAATGTAAGTCCGTAAACTTACCGCTGTTCCACTGGAATACGTCAAATACAGTAATGATTTTCTAAGTCAGTTACCCCCAGAAAAGTATAACCAAATAATCTTTCAGCGTCATTTGATGTTACTGCTTTATATTCGAGTATTTCACATGATTTTGGACTAAAAGCATGCCCGGCATGGCCAGGTGGATAAGGCGCTCGACTCACAATCTGAGGGTCGCGGGTTCGAATCCGCATCCCACCAAACATGCTCGCCCTTTCAGCCGTGGGGGCGTTATAATGTGATGGTCAATCCCACTATTCGTTGGTAAAAGAGTAGCCCAAGAGTTGGCGGTGGGTGGTGATGACTACCTGCCTTCCCTCTAGTCTTACACTGCTAAATTAGGGACGGCTAGCGCAGATAGCCCTCGTGTAGCTTTGCGCGAAATTCCAAAAAAACAAACAAAAACAAACAGACTAAAAGCAATTGATTTTTATTTGATAATTATATCGATTGTATTAACAAGAGATTTAATAAGGAAGTTGGTTTTTAGAGGTCTACATTTAGTTTTATAAAACTGCTTTTGTGTGTTTCAAGATGAAATCTTTTACCACATCTTGGGAACTGCTATGGGCAAACTAAAGTTGCACCAACCTATGCAACGCTGTTAAATGGGTTTTTATGGAAAGTAAAATGTTTTATCTTCTCCCAAACTATTTTGCGATTAACTGCGTAAATCATTTAAAGATAACATGGAAAAGATTTTTGGATGATGGTTTTATCATTTTATAGTTTTTAAACTAAAGAGTAGCCTATGGAGCTACGAAATCGGTAAAAAAAAGGGGGTTTGGTAAATAAAGAAAAGTTTAGTGAAAAAAAGGATTCTGGTTTTCTTATACATATTCATGTTGAAGTGAAATCACTTTGAAACACAGTTAATATACATACATGTACTTGCTGTTGCAGGGTGCGAATCATTGATTATCATATCCAAACTGAAGTGTAGAGAGAGAAACATTGCCTTTTAAGTGTCTGTTCTCTTCCTTTTCAAAACTTACGCCAGCAGTTGCAGTTTACGGAAAACAAAAATATAGCAAAGTTGTAGCATTGTATTTTTAAAAGTTTGAAAATTTCAAATATATTTTGAGAAACTGCAAAAATAAATTTTCTGCTATATTATTGTTTGAAGAATGGTGCAGAGTTCAACTTAGTTCAATAATTCTTCTTGTCAATACACATATATTCTTGAAAGCACTAAACTCATCTTGAGCCCTGCACTGCCATGACCACAAGTAGAAAGGGAGGAGTTGGGATTTGGAGTTGGATACAGCTAGTCCCGTCCAAGAGACTGGGAATAGTAATTGATATATACTGTTCATTATAGGTTATTCATCAAGTAGAATGAGCTTTACTTGTCGTTTGATGCTTCAGTACAGTCTGTCACTGATAAGTTAATTGGACAGTGGATAACATGATTCAGGTTACCTGAAAAGATTCACACATATCAAGAAGAAATCGACA